AACCTCATAAAGTGAAATTTTCATGCCATGGGACCTTTAAGTGTTCTTTTCATGTTTTCAGTTCTGAGATTTTTTTATTCCATATGAAATGTAGTGTATAAAACAACATAATTATAATAACATTATTATTATTATACATTATTTTTTAATATGCATTTTTATTGTCATTTTGTTTTCTATTGAGCTACTGCAGGTCACAAAAATAACTTTATAAAGAGTCAAACTTTGGCTTACCTGTCATAATGAATATGAATTATCAAGAAGGCACTATTTTAAATGCTCTCTTCCTTCAATTCTGATGGTTTTTCTTTCATAAGAAATGTAGTATATAAAATAATAATAAAGGATCTTTGTTATTTTGAAAGGATAATAATCAATAATTCACACAACAGTGGGTTAAGGTCCAGCGCTCCAGAGCTTGCTTTAAATAGATTTTTCTTCAGAATTGCAATAGCAGGACAGTGGATGTCTAGTCAGGTTCATTCTGCATATCTTTCAATCCAGCTCTGCACTCCAACAGGGCTTTAGGCTCAAATGGGACCAGAAAGCTATTTAAAGCTCACTCTGTGGCACAGTTTTGGAATTTCTCCTTACATGGGAATGAGCCCCACTTCTCCTAATGGAAAGGTGTGAAACCTGTCATCTATGTTTGTATGTTTTGCATGTATTTTTATATGTATATGCAAATGGAACTTTTGCATCCTGTTGATCATTATTTATTGCATAAAAAAAAAATCATAATTTCTGCCAGGCATTTTTCTTCTGATATCCTGCAGTGTTAATCAATAAATACACATTCACATTTCAGGCAGTTTCTTTTGAGCCTTTAATTTATAAAGCCTTGAACATTTAGTTGGTTCCTTCAAGGGACAGTTCACTCAAAAGTGACAATTATGTCATTATTTTTTTAAACCACTTTCTTTCTTCTGTGGAACACAAAATTAGATGTTTGACAGAAAATTAGAGACAGAGAGTCTCATCTTTTTTTTCATATAGTGACTGAAGGTGTCATTCGGCGTCTCCTTGTGTGTATATAGTCATATAGATTTGAAACAGCGTGAGAGTGAGTAAACAATGACAGGGTTTTCATATTTTGGTGAACTGTTCTTTTAAATAACTCTTTAAATGATGAAAATGTTTTATTTTGTGGTGTAGAGCTCCCAGAGAACTGGACGGACACCAAGGAGACACTCTTGGAAGGGATGGTGTTCACCGTGAAGTATCTGGGCATGACTCTGGTTGGCCAGCCTAAAGGAGAGGACATGGCAGCAGCTGCTATAAGGAGGATTGTAGCCACGGTCAGTCATCGCTGTAAAAGTGGGTCAAAGGATTTGAGAAATTGAGAATAGTAAGGAGCGATCATGATCCAATTTGGCACAAGATCTTACATCATTTTTGTGCCTTGGACAATTTATAGTGGAATAAAATGATTTTGTTATTTTACTTATATATATATATATAATGAATCGTATTCATGAATCTGAGATTGCCTGTATCATACGCATCTGTTGGAGGGAGGTGTATTATTCAGTGGGCATGAGAGGAGACCCCTTATCAGCTATACCAGAGACACAGTCACGGGAATCACCCATCTCTTTAATCCTCTCCTGTAAGAACACTTATTCCACATCCTTCCTACTCTCTCATTCTTTCCTCTATTCTTCCTTTCTCTCGTTCTTATTTTCTCTGGTACATACACTACACATGCCCTCCCTGGATCTGTTTTACAATGCAAAAAAAATATATATATATATAATAATAATAATAAAAAATGTAATCACTCAAATTAAAATGTTTAGTAAAGCAAGCTAAATTTATTTGAGAAGCACATTTTTATATTTATTGTTTTTAAGCACTATTTTTTGTTTTTGTACTTGTTCTAAGCACATTTTAACACTTAAATGTGTATACACACACACACACACACACACACACACACACACACATCACTCAAATTAAAATGTTTAGTAAAGCAAGCTAAATTTATTTGAGAAGCACATTTTTATATTTATTGTTTTTAAGCACTATTTTTTGTTTTTGTACTTGTTCTAAGCACATTTTAACACTTAAATGTGTATACACACACACACACACACACACACACACACACACACACACACATATATATATATATATATTCCAAATGGGGAA